TTTGAACAGGACGCTTCCGCCACCGCTTTAGATAACAGCAACAGCAGCAGCAGCAGCAGAGGTGACATACCCTCTCGGCCACAATGAGTGAAGAGAGGTGCATAGCACAGCAGTGGTACTACATCGTCTAGGAACGAGCTGATGTGTTACTGGTTCCGTGCTGTGATGTGTGTGTGCCTCTCTCCAGAGCAGAGGCCGCTCCCTCCCGCCGCGTCGCAACACAATAACAACAACCAACCGATGGACCCACAGAGACCCAATCAATATCTCTCCTCTCGCTTCCTCCGCCGAAAGCTAGCAGCAGCAGTAGTATAGGGCACACCCTGCTCCCGTCCCGCTCTCGCTGTGTGGTGTGTGCAACACACGCTGGTTGGTGGGACTCGCTCTCTCCAGGGAAAAAAAGGCGAACAAAAGGCCGGCAGCGTTGACCAACAACAAACAACGGGAACAACAACAACAACATCATCAGCGATGAAGCCCAGACCAACCAAACGTTCCCCGCGTCCTCCGCCGTCGCTGACAGCAGTATGTGTGTGTGTCCCGCCCCCCTTGTCCATGTTCCCTGTCTCTGTGTAGTGCGTGTCTTGCCAGTAGCAGCAGCAATGTGTGCAGCACGGCAGTGCGTCGTGGTTTCTTGCGTGCGTGTAGTTTGTTGCCCCCAAAAAAAAAAAAAAATGACGCCTCCCGGGGATGTGTCCATGTGACATATATATTTGCACAAACGGTGTGCTATCTCGAGACACCGANCCATGTGACATATATATTTGCACAAACGGTGTGCTATCTCGAGGCACCGACCACGGAATGCAAAGGTAGCGGTTGGGACAGCTCGGGCAAAGTGTTACTTGTTGTGCGCAAGTTTTAGTTTGCAATTTGGTGCCGAGATGGTGACATGGGCTCGAGTCTGCTGGGCATTTAGAGCGCGCAGACAGACACCAGACAGACAGCCATCGCGAAGTGTTCACGCCCCTGTGCATGAAAATTATTCTTTTTCTCGTGCGCACATAATCCACACACGATCCCTCTTAACAGCTTTTTTCTGCAAAACAAAAAGCGTACCCCTAACGGGCCGCTCCTTTCGCAAAAAAAAAACTATTCAAATACGGTGAACTCATTGCTCAGCTTGATCTTGGAAAGGTCTAGTCTCTGCAGTGCTGTAAGGTTCCCCAGCTGGGATGGGATGGGGCCTGTAAGCAGGAGTGTGATGGAAATCAAGAGGGAATTCTTGGAAAATAAATATAACATTGAACCGCCTCTCCATTTTCAAGACAACTCATCTCCGTACAGCTTGTCCCGCCTATTTGTTGGCAGGACGATTTGTCTAGACGCCGGGGAATCAATTGTGTTTTCGCCCGCCAACTTCTTATTTTCCTTCCGTCTGGCAGGCAACATCCCGCCAGAGCTACGAGATCCCATTCAACTGCAGAGTCTGTGGCTCTACAGCAACCGACTCACAGGTACCTTTGTTAATTTGATGGTCGCCCTAACTTTTTTCTAGCATTTATTCATGCTTCAATCTCGCCGATGCATGGGCGGAGTCGTTTGGTGCTGGCAAAAGATATCCCGCGAGTTCCGCGATTGTCAGATTTCGTACTCGCCTACGCATGCACGGACTCGCGCAAAATCGACCGGGAAAGAGCTATGAAAATATCGTGTTGACTCACCGTTCAGCTCGTTCGAGGAAAGGTCAAGACGCTGCAGTGCTGAAAGGTTCTCCAGCTCGGACGGGATGGGCCCTAGCAGGAGTGTGATGGAAATCAAGCGGGAATTCGAAGATTGAACCGCCTGTCATTTTTCAAGACAACTGATCTCCGTACATCTCGACCCGCCTACTCAGACACAGGACTCCTGATTTTTTTCTGCAAGACATCAAGAGAAACCAAATTGCGATATTCTTGCTCCTCACCGCTTAGCACGTTGCCTCCGAAGTCGAGCTCCTCCACCGCTTCAAGCTTTCCCAGGTCGGCCGGGATGGCGCCTGTCAGTGGAATATTAAAAACAAGTTGGGGGAAAACAAAATTCATCCACCGTCGTTTAGACAAACGGTCCTTAAAGAGAGGCGGTTCAATCTTGTAAGTTGGGGGAAAACGGTTAACTTGTTGTCGAGGTAGAGGTACTCGAGGGATCAACGCAGGGCAGTTGGGCACGGTAAAGAAAACTTATCCCGCGTTCCCGCCTACTAGCTAGTAGGCGGGTGACACTCGCGGGATAACTTTCTTTACCGTGCCCAACAGCCCTGCGTTGACTCCCTCGTCTACAGGCCATATCCCGCCGCAGCTAGGAAATCTTGGCGCCCTCGGGTACCTCTACCTCGACAACAAGTTAGATGGTGACTTAAACAATTCGAAATGCATTATATTTCCGTTCGAGTTCTGAACATGCAAGAATTCCGCGTATGCCTTGCACGAGATGTCCCGCGAGTCCCTAATCGTGAAATTCGTACTCGCCTACTTTTTCTACGGAGATCGATGATCGAGAACACACACAGCCGGGATAATTGATACTTTTTCCCTCGAATGTTCGTATTGCTATTCTCGTTTCAGGCTCCGTCCCGCCGGAGGTGGGAAGGCTCACAACACTGAGAATCCTCCACCTTCGTGCTAACCAACTAGTGCGCGGGACAAGATCTATTGAGATCACTTCTCTTCAAAACAAAACAGCGGGATGTTTATTCTAGCTTGTTGCTTTTGGAGGCCTCACTCCCCGAAAATCTGTACGAGGTACATGTGCTTCGGGCCCCATCCGACTGGAGCTAGGACATCTTGGAGGACTGCAGATCCTCACACATTGCCAGCTGCATCTGTAAGAGGCGATAAGGTGTTCTAGAAGTCGGGTCATCATTGACTTGTTTGCCTCGTACACACTGCGAACGTCTAGAAGATATCCTTTCTACAACACGCCAAATGACTACTCCCAAACCACCCAACACTCGGGATCGTTTGTCAGCCATTGGTGCGACAAAGGAAAGCGGATGGATATCGGCGAGGAAACCAACCACCAAGCCTACTGGGCCCGTGCGGGACGGATTCTTCGTCGAGAGTGCTTCGGACTACAACATACGCCGCATCAGAGCCCTGCAGAGGAAATGTGGTGCATTCGGGCCACTATCGGAGGGTTGTGAGGAGGATCGGAATATTCATCGGGGAACAAGTTTGAGAGATTTGACAGGTCTTTTGAAAGAATCTTACATTCTCGGAATGCAAGTAGGGACTGTCAGCCGAGTTGGAAGTTGGTCGACACGTATGGGGACGAAAAGACGCCCACGCGAGGTCAGTCTGACCCACCAGGAGTCTTCTCCCTTGCTGTCTTGGCTAATGCACGACACTTTGATCGCAGCTCTCGACTTAAAACATTACCACGACAAGGCCCTTGGCATCAACACAAATACGTCCGCGGAGGAAACCTCACCCCGATCCCCCGATACTGGAACCGAAGGACGGGCGCACCGTCGTGGTCGTCGTGCGCTGTGGTGTGGTGTTGTTGCGACGATCAATACACCGAGGCAAAAAGGTGATAAGACAAAGAGGAAGATGGAGGCAAGAGAGACTCACGAAAAGGTCATGAATGACCTTCAGGAGGACAACGCGTAGTATGACGCGGTGTAGTGCAGAGGGACGGGAGCAAAGGAGGATGGACGAGAGCCCAACTGCTGTGAGCATGCGGGATGGGAGGAAAGATATGCCCATTCGATCCCGAGGGGGTGAGTGGGGGGCGGAAGAATTGGAGGAGGGTTCGATCGATGTGTCCGATGAGAGATACAAGGAAAAACAGGAAGAAGGGAATAAAGGAGGAACAGAAGTTCGGCACAAAGAAGGGAA